AAACTGATATTACACAACATATTTACAATGTCTAAATCTTAACCCAAAACTCAACACGAAAATAAACGAGTTGACATGACAAGACACGATAATTAAATGAGTCAGATTATGGTCATGCTCTCTTGACCTACTTAATGTCTTAATATGACATCAACCTGACACGACACAACACATTTGTCATATCTAATCACAATCATATTCAACAACATAAATTTATAAAAGAAAATGACACATTGGCCCTATTATGTATTTCGACTTTGCCATTTCAGTCCTTTAAGTTATTTTTGTGCATTTTGAGGGAACAAAGTTTTTAGTGACCTGTCCATTTAGTTCCCTAAACATTTTTTAACCGGTTAATAGTGCCACATAAGCAACTTAAGCCAACTCAACTTTGAAATGGGCCATACGACGACGTTTTGAGCATTAAGCCTTAGTGTCCATACATACATTTCCTCCTGTTCCTCCTGTTTATCACTAATTACAATTATTTTATTTATTTTCTTTTCTCTTTCCCTCTCTTTCTCTCACTCACACACACACATAGTTCCTCATGTTCATCAATCTCTTTAAGCGTGAACCCTTGAAGTGTGAACCTCATCCCTCCTTTATCTAACTGCTTTAAATACCTTCACCCATTCCCCTAAAATCCTCTCGTCGACACAAGATCAAAATCTGATACATAAACAAATGGAGAGAAACAAGAAACATTTCAAAACATCATAAATATTCACCCACTTATATAGTTTGCTCAACCATTACTATCAACTTCTTGTACGTTAGTGATAATACGGTAATGGAGAGCAAATCACAAATGGTGTCATCCCCTTCTCTTCTTCATCAAAGTTTATGAAAATTCCTACTTGGCATTTTAACAAATATATGACAGGAAAAAAGAAAAACTATCGAATTCAGTTGCTAGCTCATTTTGCATAACCAGAAACATAATGAAATTGTATATTGGCTCCAAATTTCGATTGTAGATGGAGACTTGGGGTTATCCACTGTATGTTATGTGTGTGTGTGTGTGTGTTTGGAAACTCACAAAAGAAATGAATTCCGTCAAAAATCAACCCATTTCTTCCATCTTTGTGAAAATCACAAAATTTTTCTTTTCCTTATCTTCTGAATTGAAGTGTGCCCTTTGTTGGATTAGGTGTCTAAGCCCATAACTATAACTGGTATTTACTTGACCCGATAGTAGCATGGTCCTTTTGGGCTGCCTTCACCATAGCAATTTGATAGGATGAGTTTTGGAGATAGAGGTTAATTAATGATTTATTAATATATTATAAGAATAATATATTGATTGAGAAATCATATTATTTAATCAGTATTGATCAGAAATTAATTTGGAATTAATTTAGTGATCAAAAGAGACTGATTAAAAGAACAGGGACTGATTATGTAAATCAGTGATAGTTGTAGTTTGGGCTAATGGATCCTATTGGTATAGGATGAACGAAAATCTATGGGAGGCCCATGGAGTTTTCGTCCAAGGCTTGACATGTGGGGGTCCATGTGTTGCTTAGGGCTTAAGCAAGGAAATTAGGGTTTCCAGTTGAATCCCTAGTAGCAGCTCAACTATAAAAGGAACCCCAAGGCTTCTAAAATCGACACTTGTTCCCTAGAAGAAACCCTGGCCGTTTTGTGTAGCCTCCATCCTCTCTATCTTGTTCATCCATTGCTAAGTGGTGTTTGTGACTCCATTAGAGGTGCAACAATTGAGGCACTAAGCTCTTGAAGGTCAAGATCAAGGAAATGATTACTTGTTACTACTAGCTAACAAGAAAAGTATTCTTCTAACCCTAGTTTGTTTATTAAATCCGAAAATTGTATGCTAGTTTAGGGTTCTTGCTTTGGATAGTTGAATTGCATGTATAACTTGAGAAAAACCTAGATCCAAAGCAATTAGGGTTGCATGTGCACCATAGGAATGTTGTAATGCTCAAAGCTCATCACCCATTTACCCTCCTTTTCTTTTCGAATTACAGGTGGGTATAAGATGATGCTCAGTGGTGGCATAAAGGTGATGGCTAGATGATGGCATGTGCAATATGGAGAAGAAGATGATGGTAGGTGCAAGCCGGTGATTGTTCTGGTTAGAAAAAGATGATCCGGTGAAGAGAAAATGAGATAATGAAAGGGATCGTTGTGTATGTGTGTGTATGACTGTTTAAATTTTCAATATTTATATGTTTAGTTTTAGTTGTAGCTGAGGTGAGATGATTTGAGTAAGAAGAAGAAGAAGATGTGTGGAGTGAAATGGGCCCACTTAAGTTTTAAAATGAAAATATAGGCAAAGAAGTTACCGGATGACCCCTTCGTTTCTTCCAAAAAGACTAAATACACCCGACAAAAAACAGTTTGTAAAAGGCACGAAAAAAACTTTAATGACTGAAAAGACAAAGTCTAAATATATAATAGGGCCAATATGTTATTTTTCCAATTTATAAAGTACACAACTTTAATACGCAGAACATATTAAAAAATAATATAAAATCATTGAAATCTGCATGCAAAATATCTCCATAGGAAACGAAGATAAGAGCATCATATTTAAGTTGTTTGCCAAATATCTCCACCAGGAAAAGAAGATAAGAGCATCATAATTTAAGTTGTTTTACCTTTTTTTGGACTTCTTATAATTCGTCAATCATGATTGGCCCCATAAAATATTTAAAACATGTTTTATACTTATTTCCTCATCACTCAAAATGTGAAAAGCAAAAAATTTCCTCCTCTCCTCAACATTTAAAATGTAAAAAGCAAGTTCTTTTCACTTTTAGATGCATCAAATACACTATGCTCTTTTATTTAGAAATATTTTTTTAACTGTTTTATAGAATATAAAATACATATCATCTTTTAAAGTTAAAAGTTATTTTTTCATGAGTAATCATTATTTACATGAATGAGTCTAACCTTTTGATTTGAATATTTTATTTGAATTAATTTTATTAAAAGAAAATAGTCAGTTTTTATTATTAAACTATGAAACTAAAATTACTGTTATTACAAAAAAAAAAAAAAAAAAAGTGGGGCACAACCCAAATTTTATATTTATAGGCTAATTTTATAAAAATTAACGGACTATTACTTGTCATAAAAAAAATAGGGGGGTCACAACTCCGACCCTTAATAAGCTCTATGCATGTTGATCATACATGTAGTTTTATAAAATTATTCGGCTATTAATTACCAAAATAATACAAAATACTTCTTAAAAACTGATAATATAACTTCATGTGGACCAAAATACGTGACATCAATAAGGAGTTTTCCTAAACTTATAAAATTATATTTTACCGTTTTTTCAACAATATCATATAAATCCATTATTTTTTTAACGACAAATTCTCTACAACTGAAACTAATGATATTATAATTATGGTGGTTATGCAATACCTTTTAAATAAAATATATATACATAATTTATTTTTTATAAAGAGTAATTGAGTATCACTAAATAATAAATAGTAATAATTGTTTATGAACTCCCTTTTTTTTTTAAAATAAAACATTTTGAACGGGGGTTGATGTTTCTCTATTTGACATCGCGTAATGGTTTTGGATGAATTCAACATGAGCCGTCTAAATAGTACAATTTATATCTTTATATAAATACATAATTTTGAAACACTTTCTTTGTTTGTGAAAAATAAATTATTGTCATCTCCTGTGTATTTTCGATGAATAATGTAGTCAGAAATGCTCTTATTTTCTAATAATGTTTTATGTGATTTAATAAATGTTTTTGAATAATAACAAGAAAATAAAAATATTTTTTGATAAAAATTGAGAATACTTATAAATCGAAGTTAATTCACATATCTTGTAATAATTTGAAAGGAACAAACAAATAAAAATGGAATGGAACCCGTTAAGGCACGTTGAAGATATGACGGATAATCTATTGGCTAATGTTCAAATCTTGACATTACTCAACCCTATGACCAATGTTTTAAAACCGGGTCGACCCGGCCGGTTCAACCGGTTGGTCGTGACCCGGGGTAGAAGGCGGGTTAATTGAGAACGGTTTTTTGTAAAAATACGGACCGGATCGAACCGGCCGAGTTTCTCCTAAACCGCGGTCGAACCGTTATGTCGAACCGATTAAAATCGGATTGACCCGTTTTAATAAGGTTTGGATAGTTGGATACACGTAGCGAACGCCAAAACAACGAGCCGTATGCGGCTTCTTCAATGTTTTTCAATGTTTAAACTTTGTGGACATCAAATTATTGGTTTTATATGTTTATACATTATGAGGGAAAGTAAAAATATATGAAAATAGAAAAAGACCATAAACCGGGTTGACCCGGCGGTTCAACCGGTTGAACCGTGAACGGGTCATCACACCGGGTCAACTAAAAACCCGGGTTTTAAAACATTGCCTATGACAATGAAAGTTTGTATGCCGTGATTCCATGACATGAACACAACCTTATGTTTACAACGAGGATTAATCAGAGCCCGAAACCCTTGTTATGAAAGTTCCCCTTAAAAAAAATTGAAGCTTTATGTCAATAACCCTATTAATTTTTATAAATTTTTTTTGAAACGGAAAATCTAATATACTAATAAGCTAACAACACCTAATTCCAACTATGTCCACAACGAGACTTGAACCTTCGACCTCAAAAAAGGACACCAATTGATACCGTTGGGCTAGAAGCCTTTGATAATTTTTTATACAACTTGAAATGAAAAATATTACAATATTATTATTAATAAGATAAGATAAGATAATTTATTGAAAAGTTAAAAATAATTTCAATAATAACTACACAATTATCTTGTTGATTTTTTTAAAAAAAATATAATACCATTTTGATATTAAATATTGGTTAATTGACCCGTTTAGGAAACTTTTGGAAGAGAAAATGTTGATTAAGACCGGAACAAAAAAGATTGAAGAAGATGAAAAGGCGGAGTGATTGAGGGGCCACATCTTAACATTTTGACCACCAACAGCCTCCAAAAACACACACTAAAACACACACACACACACACACACACACACACAAAGACACAACACATGATGATGCAGGCTTTTCTTCACTCCAGTTACGCCACAACCAAAAGGCGTTGATCTCTCTCTCTCTCTCTCTCTTATACACATTCGTCTTCAAAGCAAAGAAGCGATTCTGATTCAACAACAAACGCACACAGATACTTGCCTTCAGTTGATCATCCTCCTGATGGTAAGTGATCTCTACGAATCTGTGTTGCATCATGTGATTATCTATTTCTTTCACTACATACACACACAAAAACACGATGTGTATTCCGAAGTTGTTGAATCTCTCTATTTGGTCACATGATGCAGTTTTTTTGGTTGATTTGTGTTAGGGTTTTTGTTGAATATTGCCAATTCGAGAGGTGTATGATGCTTTGAAGCGGTTTCAGTAAATGGCAGGGGAAATCCAAGAGCCCTTTCGGTTAAGTTTTCAGGTAATTTCGTTTATTTTCATGGTTATTATCTCAACTAGATCTGATTTATCCGGATTTGGATTTTGATTCAGAAAATTGCTTTCCATTTTTTGTATTACGTGTCTTTTATTATGTCGGTTTCGTGTTAATTACCTACCCTAAAACCATTAAATTTGTTCTATATATCTACTTTAACAAAATTTCTCACGGATCACATTCAATGATTGTTCACTGCACATTTTTTTGATTGAGTTTACTTCCACTATTTACCTGTCGTGTAATTTGTGATCTTCAAGGTGGAATTTGCAAATATTTAAGTTTTAGTTGATTTGTTCAAATGAATGGATTTTGATGTCTGGTTTCTTCAATTACACAGGCTGACCTCCTGCACTCTGGTTCAATCTCATTTGGAAGATTTGAATCTGAATCATTATCTTGGGAAAGAAGATCAATTTTTTCTCACAATAGATACCTTGAAGAGGTTGAGAAATACTCAAAACCAGGTTCAGTTACAGAGAAGAAGGCATATTTCGAGGCTCAGTTTAGAAGAAAAGCTCTTTTGAAGCAAAGTTCTTCTGAATCCCAAGATGGAGGAGACTTCCCAACAAGCGGAAACAACAACCTCCATGAGTTAGAAGAATCTTGTAATGGCAATGAGAGTTCTTCCACTTCTGATCCTTCTGAATACACTAAAGAAACCCCAATTCAACACCATGAAAATGGAAAAGATGTTGAAGCTTTATATGATGAGAATGGCAATGGAGGATTGGATCTTGCATGCTTTGATGAGATCCCACATAATTCAAGATGCGATGAAGATACAATTAGTCAAGAATGTGAAAGTCAAAATTGTGAATTTCTTCCTGTTGTCAATATGATCGATTGTCATGTGAGTGTTCATGAACATGTGAAGATTGATGGGACACATGGGAGTGAAACTGAGAACATAGTGGAAATTACTGAAGAAATAGTTGTGGATGTGGCATCAGAAATGACTGATTCGCCCCTTACTCATCAAACACTTGAGAAAGATGATGATAACACTAGCACCAGAGTGACTGAACCTATCAGAACATTTTCTCCCAAGGTAAATCCTTCTAAACATTGCTTTTTGAATATTCTTTTCATATATTTTTTCATGCTTGAAAAGCTCGATTTATATTGGTTTTAGGTTAAGCATGCATCAGAAAAGAAACTTACAAGGGCAACACTAAAGACTCAACCAAACATTGATCGGTTTCAAAAACACATGTCTAATGAAGCATCCAAAGGTTCAATGAAACCTCAAACAAGTGGAAGCAAAGGTTTAGTAAAGAAACCAGAAAAGAAGTCACCAAGACCTTCTAGTCCCTTACCTTGTTCAGGGGTAAAATCGTAAATAATCTTCTTACTTTTCATTTTACAACAATATAACCATATTTATTTATAGGATTTTAACATTTTGAAGGTTACAAGATCTGAAAAAGAAGTCAAACCTCAGTCTTCATTATTAAAGAAGTCGCTTCCTACTGTTAACAGGTTAGTAAAAGTGTAAAACTATTAAAAGTTTTTATCTTTTTTTATAAATGTGAACTCTAAACTCCATTTTTTTTTAAAATCTTTTATGTACTTAATTTGTCAGGCCAAAACAGAGTATTAGTTCAAGCAAATCACAGGTCAATGTCACTCAGAGTTGTGCAGGTTTCAGTTTAAAAACTGATCAACGAGCAGAAAATAGGAAAGAGGTAAGAAATGTTCATAGTTTCTTCTTGAAGGTTTAGTATTGCCAAATTTGAATTGTTGAAGGGTTAGTATCGTACAATCGTCAAACCTGAGTCTTTGTATAAATGTAATACAGTTCTATATGAAAATTGCGGAGAAAATGCATGCTAAAGAAGCTGAGATTAACCAAGTTGAAGCAAAAACACTGGTATGTTATATTGTTATATGAAGTATGACATCATCAAATAATTTTTTATCCTAATAATATTTTATTTCTTTTTAGGAAAAACAAGCAGTTGAAATAAAGCAATTTAGAAAAAGTCTCAACTTCAAAGCAAAACCAATGCCTTCTTTCTACAATGGTTCAGATCAACACAAGGTATTTTTAATGTACAATTAATATATATTTTTTCGCGTGTTCTATTGTTACATCATGATTATTATTATTTATTAATAAATTAATAATTGGGAAATGCCAGGTCACACCCAATCAAACGCGACCCCGTTCAAATTCAGTCAAATCCTCTGTTCCATTGGACATAAGACCGAGTTGTTCGAATTTAGCGACCAATAGGATTGGTATTTCGGAAAGTGTCGCGAAAAGTCGTGTAGAGAAGAAAAACGATGTAAGTGTAAAGAAACAAAACAAGCCGGAATTGAGGGGTGTTAAATCAGGTCATGTAGTGGTGGGGGTTATATCTTGAAACAGTTTATGAATGTTGGTGTTTTATACGTATGTTGTAGTAAAAGGTAGAGAAGAGAGAAGAGAGAATAAAGATATGTGGATATTGTAACAAATTGTGACTACAAAACCTTTCTTTATAGATTTAGTAATTTATAGTCTTGAAAATAATGGTATTTAACTATTTTGCATATTATTTTTACTTTGATGCTAAGAATAAGAGGAGAAATCATGTGTATATTGTATCACATTCATTATTGTGTGTTTGTCGATCGAAAACCTAACACCTATTGGAAGAGAAATTATGGTTAAAGGATTTGTAAAAGCTTACGAGATTGTACTTCAATTGAAGAAAATTTGTATATTCAAGAATGTGATACATGTATCTTTTTCTTGAGTTAAGTAGTAGAAATTTGATAAACATTTTATAAAGCAGTTGGAGAACATAATTATAGAATAGAGGTCTCAGTTTTAAAACTAAAGATGTACTCTCTTTGTTATTGTTATGTTATATGATCACCTTTTTGCATGATGGTTGAAAGTCTACTTTTTACCTTTTTTGATCAATAAATTTTGGATGCATGAATTGTTAGCAGATATCCTACTGTAAAGTCAACTTCTTTGAAGAAGTGCTAGACTAGTCGAATATATTTTATTTGAATTCAATCAAGAACTCTAACAAACTCGAGTCTCGATAAGGTTGAAGAAACGAATATAAAAGAAAAAGCAATGTAGTAATTAGTAAATGTCTTGATTAATTTGATCCTAAATATAAATAGAAGAAACAATTTCCATAGTAAACATCGTGTTTCGAACCAAATTGCATCCCCAGCTGAACACATTTAGAAGAGTGACTATTTTTTTCGAATAATTAAATTTTATTTAGGGTTATGTTTGAGAAAATAGTTGATCATAGGTAAAACAAGTATATAATATATTTTGAAATTGTGCCCATGATATCACGTCGCTAGAATTTTTTTCAATTCTTTTACTTACTTTAATTCAATTTAAAATGTTACATGTATTTTAAAGTTGGCTTCCATAGTAACAAATCAACAAAGGTCGCCAAAGAATAATTAGAAGAAACAATAGCCTATGGCGATGTTATTTATTGCTTTCACACACAAAAATTGAAAAACAAAGACAAAATTGCAAAAATGGTCCATGTGGTTTGTCAATTTTTTTGGGTAAGGTCCAAAAAAAATTTATTAGCAAAAAGGTCCCTATTTGGTAGTTTTGTTGTCGTTTTGGTCCCTACCTCCTTAAGTTTAACAGGATGTCTGTTAACTTTTGGCAAATGACGGATTTACCCCTGGGACCATTTCTGCAGTTTTATCTTTTTACCAAACTACAATGACTAATTATGCAATTTTTTTTCATTTTATTGAATTATTGTATATTAATTCTTTTAATTACTTTTTTTAAACTTTTTTCTTATTGTATTATTTTTTTATTGGATTATTATATATTAATAAATATGATTTTTAATATATTATATTTATATATTAATAAATATTACTTTTTTATTAGTAATTTTTTTTTGAATTTCTTCTTTATTGCATTAATTTTTTTTATTGGATTATTATATATTAATAAATATTATTTTTAACATATAATATTTATCTATTAGTAAGTGTTACTTTATTGGATTATTAATTTCATTTAATTAATTTTTTTAAATTTTTTTATTGCGTTAAATTTTTATTGGATTATTAATTTAAATTTATTATTTTTATTTATAATAAATAATATTTTTTAATTGTTTTTATTTTCTTTTAATTTATTTCTTTATTGTTTTAAATAAAAATACGAAAAAATCGCACCCACCCCACCTTTCCTAATCTATTTTAAATATTTGGAAGATAACATATTTTGGACAACACACTACCATCACTCAGTCACAACAAACCACTATCGGGCCGTCTCCAACCTTGTTACTATATATATATATATATATATATATATATATATATATATATATATATATATACACTAGGTATGTTTGTGGCCCGTGCTAAGCACGGGCCATGGAGGGTAATTTGGGCATTCTAAAAATTTAAGGTGCAATATTATAATTAGGTGGATTTTACAAAGTGGGATTGACTAATCAATATGGTAAATGTAAGTACACTGTTTCATATGAAAAAATACATGTCTATTATCAATTAAAAAAGTTAAGTAGGTTGCTATTATGAGTAAGCAACTGAAAGTAAGTTTCTATTGTATGTAAACAAACTATAACAAGCATTAAAAACATTAATGGAGAATCACCACTTAATGACATTACAGACATTATTTAAAAGTTAATGTTGAATCTATTGTTTTTGGGTTTTGTTTGAACTTCATGAACGAAATAAGCTTTTATAAGCTTTTGTGCTATGTTGTATAACTTTTCAATCATATATATTATGTTAACAATCAACTAACTTCAGTAAATTAGACAAAAATATGTTAGCATGTTAACAAAAATGAGCTCAACCATCTAGCATTTGAATCTATTAAACTGATCAGGTCTTTCTTGGTAGATATGAACTGGCTTTATGACAGAGCACCACATTGATAGCCAATGATGAGCGAAAAAGATAAAATAAATGCTACATGTATTCATACCAGAGTTACTTTGAACCAAAGTAAAGTAAGTTGCATAAAACAACATATAAGAAATATAACAGTGTAATCATCCGTTTATAATTTTTTTTTTAAAAATAAGTTCTATATCGATGGGGACCCAGTTTCCCCCTCTTCCTGAAGCGGATCACACCCTTCCACGGTGAGACCTTCAGGAGTACCATGTCACCGACGTGAAACTCCAACTCAGATCGGCGTCGGTCGGCGTAGCTCTTCTGCCGACTCTGTGCGGTCTGCAGCCGCTGTCTAATCTGCTGAATCATATCGGTAGTCTGCAAGACTACCTCGTTCCGACCCATCACCCTGTGACCCACCTCACCCCAACAGACTGGGGTGCGACACCTCCGCCCATATAACAACTCATACGGTGGAGCACCAATGCAGGAGTGAAAGCTGTTGTTGTAGGAGAACTCTGCAAGTGGTAGGTAGGAGTCCTAGCTCCCACCGAAGTCAATAACGCAGGCTCTCAACATATCCTCAAGAGTCTGTATCGTCCGCTCACTCTGGCCGTCCATCTGCGGATGATAGGCTGTACTGAAATGCAGTCGTGTGCCCAGTTCCCCGTGGAACTTCTGCCAAAATAGGGAGGTAAACCAAACATCACGGTCTGAGATGATAGAGACCGGAACCCCATGGCGAGCGACAATATCGCGTATATACACATCGGTCAGCTTCTTGGCCGATGAGCTCTCCCGAATGGGCAGAACATGAGCACCATTGGTCAATCGATCCACGATGACCCAGATAGTGTCGAACCCCTTTGCCGTCCTCGGCAACTTGGTGATGAAGTCCATCGTGATCTGCTCCCATTTCCACATGGGAATCTCTAGAGGCTGCAGCTTGCCATGCGGCCTCTGGTGCTCGGCCTTGATCATCCTGCAGGTCAAGCACCTCTCGACGTACCAAGCGATTTCTCGCTTAATGCACGACCACCAATAACTCAAATGCAATTCTCGGTACATATTGGTGGCCCCCAGGTGAATAGAGAAGTGAGACTTATGAGCCTCCTCCAATATAGTCTGTCTGACCCCACCAGACATCGGAACCCAGACCCGACCGCAACGGGTCAATAATCCCCGACTATCCTGCACAAACCGGGTGTTCTCACCCCTGATCCTCTCGAGTTTCCAGTTCTACCGACGCATACCCTCAGCCTGGGCTTCCTTGATCAAGCCCAGAAGCGGAGAATCCACCGCTATCCTCATACACATCGCTGGGGTTGAAGACCCTGCTGACTTGCGGCTCAGAGCGTCCGCCACCACATTCTCCTTACCGGGGTGGTAAAGGATCTCGCAATCGTAGTCATTGACTACATCCAGCCACCTGCGCTGTCTCATGTTCAGGTTCAGATGATTCATGATGTGTCTCAGGCTCTTGTGATCCGTTTGATCCGTGTATATGGTACAACGAACCCCATAGAGGTAATGTCTCCAAATCTTGAAAGCGACTACCACCGCTCCCAACTCCAGATCATGAGTAGGGTATCTCGTTTCATGCGGCTTCAACTGCCGCGATGCATAGGCTATCACCCGTCCTCTCTGCATGAGGACCGCTCCTAGTCCCGTGATGGATGCACCGCAGAACACCACAAAATCCTCAACTCCCTCCGGAAGAGTCAAGACTGGAGCCTCGCATAGTCGCTGTCTGAGGGTCTCAAACGCCCTCTGCTGCTCGGGGCCCCACCAGAAATCCACCCCTTCCTCGTCAAACGAGTGAGAGGTACCGCAATCTTGGAAGAATCCTGTATAAATATCCGGTAGTACCCTGCTAATCCCAAGAAGCTCCTGATGTCTGAGGGAGATTTTGGAACCTCCCACTGCATAACCACCTCGATTTTGGTCAGATCGACCAAAATCCCCTCCTGGTTAACGAGGTGTCCCAGGAACTGGACCTCTCGTAACCAAAACTCGCATTTCAAGAACTTGGCATAAAGCCGTTCTCGTCTCAAAACTCCCAATAACTCCCGCAAATGCTCCTCATGCTGCTCTCGGGTCTTGGAATACACCAAGATATCGTCGATGAATACTATGACCGATCGGTCGAGCATCGGTCTGCAGACCCGATTCATCAAGTCCATAAACACTGCTGGCGCGTTGGTGAGCCCAAACGGCATCACCACGAACTCGTAATGTCCATAACGAGTTTGGAACATGGTCTTCTCCACGTCCTCCTCTCTGACTCTGACCTGATGATACCCAGACCTCAAGTCTATCTTGAAAAACCAAGACGCACCCTGTAACTGATCAAAAAGATCGTCTATCCTTGGGAGTGGATAACGGTTTTTCACCGTTAACTTGTTCAACTCCCGGTAATCAATGCACATCCGGTGTGAACCATCCTTCTTCCTGACGAAGAGTATCGGCGCTCCCCAAGGGGAACTGCTCAGACGGATGAACTGCTTTCCCAGCAGCTCCTGCAGCTGTGATGACAGTTCCTTCATCTCTGGCGGTGCCAACCGATACGACGCCTTGGCGATAGGGGCCGCACCTGGCACTAGGTCGATCCGGAATTCGACCTGCCTCTCCGGAGGTACTCCGGGTAACTCC